ATATATATATATATATCTATCTTCTACTCTTTTTACTAGTGTTATGATCACCCTCATACACACTCATTGAACCTTTATCCCTGGTACTGATTAGATTTCGGAACAAATGTTTTTGGCCTCACCTGAGAATCCAGTGTTCATTTAACTTGAAGCAGACCTTGGGTGAGGCTGAAAACATTTGTTCCAAAATCTAATCAGTACCAGGGATAAAGGTTCAGCGAGTGTGTACGAGGGTTATTATATTGAATATATATCTAATTTTCTCTAATATTAAATCTTTTAAATGAAACTTAACTTCACTTATTATATGCTTAACTAGGCTGCAATTTTCAGATTGTAGACCTATACATTCCTTTTTGTCAATCTGTCTGTCTTTGTTAATCTCAGGAATGGAGTTAGGTAGATAAAAACTGCGACCATATATGGAAAACTTAGTGGTCGGCAGCCCCAATTAACTATATACAAACTTCCAGTCTGGACTGGAAGTCTTGTGATTTTTTTCTAAATTAAAAGATGATTAAAAATTGCAGCCTGGCATTGTGACAATGTCACAATAATATACAGTCAAACTTCCATATAATGAATTTTTGCATTGTACAAAGCTCTTTCAGCCAAAAATATATGTAAAATTGCTTCTAAATAACAAAGTTAAATTTCTATATAACAAATTGTTTTTAATTTGTAAGGACTGTTGATAATAAGTAAAAATGACTCCATTTGGTCAAGTTTGAATTTATGTTCGATTTCAGGTATCAATCTGTAAATTCTTTGTAAAACTGCAGCCCAGGTATGAGAAATATTGGTCATTAGCTTTTAAAACTATCATGTAATCTGTCCCCACATGGCTACCAGTTGTAAAGAAGGGAGAGAGAAATTATCTGTCAATGAGAGCGTTTGGACCTAAACGATTTACAATTAATAAATGTTTTAGAGTTACAGTATTTATGTATTAAAATAAATTTAATACTGTATTAAGCACTATTTCTTCATAATACTGTAACTTATAGTTAGATCTTTTTATTGAAAAAAAAATTACTGCAAGGTATAAATTTTTTGGACTGTGGAACAAAAAATTCCAAATTTCTTTTACAAAAAATGTAAACTAACTTAAAATTAAAATTACATAAAATAATGAAAAAATTTCATTAAAATAATACTTTATTTACCAAAAAGTGTTATTTCTGTGTAACAAAATTTTCCTGTAGCTAATTTTTTTTTCAGGATTTAGTGACTTTGTTATATAGAAGTTTGACTGCAGTTTGAACTCATTACTTTTTAGTGGTTTTTCATTGATCAGTTTGATGAACATGTTAAAATTACTTTGAATAATGATAAATATATCAAATGCTTAAATTTTTAAATGATCCTGCTATTATAATTCATTAAATTAGATTTAAATTTTCATTGTTAAATAATTATATAATTAAAATATATGAATGATGAATAATAATTGTACTACTAAAATATTTATAGTTTCTGATTCAAGTAAATTTTTAAAGCAAGAATTTCATACTCAAAATTTTCAAAATGATTCAATAAAAAAGGTTAGTGCAAATCATTTCTTGTATTTTTTATTATATGATTAAATATCATTCTTAACATCAAAATCATTTCATTAAAAATATCATTCTGTATATTAAAATTTACTTAATTTATGTTAATATAACCTTACACAATACAGAAATTAATATTTTAGATTTTTCTTTAAAATTTCCAGAAGGATAATTTACACAAACTCTTATGCTGAATGTAATTTTAACAATACAATAGTACTTCATACTTCAGAGTTTGAACACCAAATTCAACAAAAAATTTGCTTCAAAGTTCAAACTAGGTATGCAGTGAAAAATTCATTCCAAGCATAAAATAAGCTTCTGAACAAAGAATAACATCACAAATTAGTAATAACGTGTTAAATTTCATAGCTGTTATAATTAAATTCACACATCTATGTTAAGTAACATATGAAAATTGTATTAACTGATCACACAGTGTGGATTTAGGCTCTTAAACATGGCTGCTGGATCCACCAAATGTATACCATTTTCATGCTTTGCAGTAAGTTCCTTTATCATCTGAATCATCATTATTACAACCTTCTTTGTTGTTAGACTTCATTGCTTCCACCCACTTCTCAGATGCCATGACTAATAAGTAAAGGTGACATTGGGTTGAACAGAAAGTTATGAAAGTGGTGTACGTGTGGTGGATCTGGCAGCCATGTTTAAGATGCTAAAGTCAATGTTGTCCCAGTTAATGCAATTTTCATTTTATTATATATTATTTACATATTTATTGTTTTCATGTTTTAATTTATTATTAGGGAATTTAATTGTGTTACTTTTACCTTAAATTATGTATATTTGCAGTTTTAAGTTTATTGAAATGGGTTAGTTCACTTTCCATTATTTCTAATAGGAGAAATTGTTTCAGACTTTGAATGATTCAAAGTTCAAACAGCCTCCTGGAATGGATTAAACTCAAAGTACAAAGCACCACTGTATTCAAAAGCTTTGAATGCAATGAATATAGAATAAAACAATTTTGTATTTGTTATCCACTAAAACTTTTTAGTGTAATTATTCTTTTGTTTTAGTTGTAATTTTTGTAGGCATTGGAATATTGAAAACATTAAATGAAAATTTCAAAAACTTGACCTCTGCTTTAAATATTTATACATTTTGTTAAAAATTTCAACATTAACATAATTTCATATTGTTTAACTAACTATAAAATTCATTTTATCTTTTTCTTCTTGAGTATTTCTTTTTTAAACACTTGTATATCTTTAAAAAGAAACTTTATTAAATAAAATTAAATAAATTAACTCCCTTCATAACAAATTTTTAAACGTATAAATATATAATAAATTATAAATTTTATAAACAATGAACATATTAATTAATTAATGTTTTACAAATATCATGTTGGCATTTAATGAAATTGTCTGATTAAAAAGTGAGAAACCTTTCTACTAGCTTAATTTATTGACAATAAATGTTTTTGATTGTGTTTATCAGTCATCATAAGGTTTTAAAAATAAGCCATAGAAGTTTATTATGAATAAATTAAACTGATAAAAAGGTTTTCAGTCATTGATTAACTAGTTTTTGTATTATCTCTGACTACTATAAAACAATATATTATAGAAGTTATAAAGTTGAAATTTTAGATCTCTTATATTTTCAGGAAATTACAAACTATTTGTACAGTCCATTCTGAATATATGACTTTGATACATCAAACACATTGAGATCAGATTGTTACAGGTGTTAAATTAGCTGTTATATTCACAAAGCAACAAGAAGATAGAGGTATACAAATAGTACAAGCCAAAGCCCAAATCATATTAGACTTGGGCTTTGGTTTGTACTCTTTACCTATTTACAAATCTAATATTACTAAACATAATCATGAGTGCTGCTAAATAAATCAATTACAATATGGCTAAATTTTTTAATTCCTTAAGATCTTAAAACAGATGGAGGTATTATCATGTTGAATGGATATTGAAGGTTATCAGTATAGATCAAATTTTCATTAAAGGGATTTGTAATTAATATTTTTACAAAATAATAGCCCCACTACTTATCTTTTAATACTTCTTTTTTACTTAATGTATATAATTATACACAGTCAAACTTTATTGTAATGAGTACATGGTTATTACATACAAATTTTTATTTTGTTTTCATTTAAAACATAACCATAAATTATTTACATAAAAATATAACGAGTTCACTTCACAGATATAATGAACAAATCTTTGTCTTGTGTAGTAGGAATGAGTGGGAGGGAGAACATGAGTGAACTGCTTGTCCAGTTGTCAAAGCTATGTTAAAAGTTTAACCTCTTACAATAGTGTCATTTACAAAAAGAAGATGGTTTGCAACAGAACTTAATTTTATCAGCAACAGAACTTAATAATTGTATTAAAAAGCTAGGTGACATTTTTTAAAAAGGAAGGAATATGTTTTGAAGTTTTCAAAATATTTGTAATAAATAAGTAGTTGGAAAGTTTTCTTGTATTTAATTGGATAAGGAATTTTCAAACAAAAAAAAATTGCATTACTGCTGTATTCATGCCAATTATAACAGGTTTTGATTGTATACAGTATTTACTAAAATGTAAGAAGAACCTTAGTGTCTACATGCTCACCCCTGGATTATTTTCAAATAGACAACTTGAGACAAATTTATGATGACAAATGATTCTACTGACATCTGTTTGTTCAGTATTTATTGCAAAATAAAATCATTAAAATGGTGCAATGGAATTAGTGACAGAAAAATAAGATACACAAAGTTGTTATCCATAACATACAACAACAAATCTTTAACATATCCTATTTTCAGAAGTGCTAAAATCTGAAAAAACTGTCTTACATTTGAGTAAATACAGTATATTTCTCTTTATATTTAGGCAAAATTTTTTTTGGAAGTAAAAAATTTAGCCATAATTTAGTCTGGAAAGGAAAAACAGAGCCTAGCATATCAGGTCAATATTGGCTTGGAAACTTCCAAGTGAATCTATCCAGAATATGTCAGACTCCATTCTTGTCATTTGAACACACTGATTATGTTCATAGCAATATCTCTTGATATCTGCAAAGCAGAAGAGATCAAAATTAAAAATAAATAAATATATATTTACATTCCATTTGTGTTGATCCTGTTATGCTCGTAGTTCCTTTTGTATCAGCTGCTCTCTGTAAAAATAATTTCAAATTGAGTGTTTATCTACGAATTTATTCAAATAAGCACCAAATTTCATTATTATTTTTTGTTTATATTGATGATATTTTGCTTCCTCTGTAAAGAAAAAGATTGAAAGTGATACATAATTTAATTTGGAGATTATTAAGAATTAATTTGTGTAATAGTAAAATATTACAGAAATATAAAATAATTGGATACTTGTTTTTATTTCTTTTTACAGTTGGGTGGCACTGTAACTGAATTTCCATCAAGAAAAAAGTATGAGACATGCCAATCGTGTAAACACAGAGTATTTATTCTTGAAAGACTCATGGTTGATGGTAAATTATATCATCGAACATGTTTTAAATGCTGTCGTTGTCAAGCATTACTGAAACCTGGAGCTTATAATGAAGGAGAAGTGCCTGGAACTTACGAATGTACGATATGTCCTCGGGACGAAGAAGCCGAATCTTCACAAGCGGATTCATCAGTTAGTGCATCCGAAGAAAAATTGAACATACCTTTAGATTCTAGTGAAAATATAACTAGAAAAGAAAATTTTCAAACAAAACGTGTTTCTGATACATTTACTGAAGCAAGAAAGGTCTTCCTCCAAAATAATTTAAACAAAGAAACTGAAATTAAATTGCATAAAGAGAGTTTTCATGATAGAGAAAACATTCCAGAATCAAACTATTTAAAAAAGAATGGAGAAATAGAAGAAACAGATAGATCATTTGATTTGAAGAAAGAAGAAATGGAAGATCAAACTTCATTAGAAATGAATAAATCTGAGAAAATATCTAATCAAATGCCATTGTTAAAAAAGCCTCCCATTGCAAAGAAACCTGATTTTTCTCATATTTCAAAATGTTTGAATTCGTCTAGAGAAAATGATAATTCAGAAAATATCGAAGATAATCTTCTGTCTAAAGATACAACAAAAACTGACATCTCTTCTCCTTTGAAATATCAAAGTGTTTTTAATACATATAAACCTTTTGTTTATAGCCAGAATGAAGAAACAAAATCAATGCATTTAAAATCTCTACAGCGAAGTATCTCCGAGCAAAAATGTGAAACAAACGATCAAATTAAAAGCGTCTCAGACTTACCCGTCATCAAGTCTTCCAAAGAAAATGCACCGTTCTTAAGCAGAAGTCTTTTGAGAACAACAAGTGACAACAATATCCAACAAACTGCAAAGCTTTCCAGATTATCAGAAGCTTTATTATTTCCAACGAAAGGCAAAGAAAATGAAGAATTACAAAATGTATTACATAGTAAATGGAGTAAACAAGGAACATACCACAAAATGTACAGTAATAAAAGTTTTACAAATTTGACTGATTTAAAAAATTCTTTTTCAAAGAAAGCCGACTTCTCAAACGATGAATATGTCAATTTGGAATTTCCATCTGAAAAAATCAAAGTTGAAAATAGTACTTCAGAAAAGGACATCAAAAGTAATATTATTTGTGAAGATGAGAAGAAAGAAGTCGATTCTGTTTGTGTTAAAGAGGAAGATAAATTAGTTTGCGATGAAAAGAATGAAGAAATTGATACAAAAAATGATACTTCAATTGAAAATAATGAAAAAATCAATTCAATAAAATTATATAATGAAACTGATGAACAAAAAATTGACAATTCAAAATCTCAAATAGTCGAAGTTTCACAATCAAATACTTCTGAAGTAACATCAGAGCTTTCAAATAGTGTAAAAATTGATTATCCTATAGATTTAAATCCTTTTGGAGATGACGACGATGAATCCGAGATGACAGCAAAGGAAAATTATCCAGATGATTTAAATCCTTTTGATACGTCTGAAGACGAAGACAATGATGACGAAACTTTATCTTTGAATAAATCAAGTATTCTTTCGACAGACTCGTGTAATGTTTCCATTGATAATGATGAGTACGATAGAAATTTCAATCCATTTTATTCGTCTGATGATGATTGTAAATCCAATGGTTCAGATATTCATAGCCATTCCTCATTTGATTCTCATTATAGCAGCTCTAATATTTCAGAATTGAGAAATGAAATAAAAAAGAAGAGAAAAGCTCCATTACCACCGACATTGTCACAATCACTTCTTAATAAAGAAAATTTAAGAAATGAGTTTAAGACAGATAAAAAGATTCAGACGAAGCAAATAAGACCATCGCCTCGTTTGTCTCAAAAAAAGATTGCACCCAAACCACCCGTTAGTATAGATGATAAACAGAACACAACAGATTCTGAAGTTAGTGAAAATGTGAAAAATAAATTAGAGAAAGAAGATAAAAATGTAGAATCGTCCATTCAACCTGTTACAAATAAACCTAAACAATGGAGGAGAAAGAAAAGACCTGCTCCTTCAGTACCCGTTCCACGGAAAAGAGAGGTAAAGTTTTCAAAGATCTCTGCAAAATATTTAATTCTTTGTAAATTTAAGTTTACTTCTTCATTGAATTTCTGACTATCCTGCAGCTTTTTTCTGCAACCATCTTCCTTTGGTCTACTTTTGGTAATAAATCCTTCTAAAACCAGTTTGAGAAAGCCATCTGCTTTTCTGCTCTTTGTTAGTTTATAATTATTACACACTTTTTACTTATTTAGTACTTACTTGTATATTATTAAAGATTTGTTTTAGTATTTTCTCAGTATTCTGTGAAAGCTTTATGACACTTTGTGAAACTTTGACAGAATATTGAAAACATTTATAAAAGCTTAAATTGTGCAATTGGGAACATTTGTTTAATGTTTGAATGTTTTTAATTAATTTTTTATTTATGGCCTTTAAAAATACTTTTCCTATTTTAAAGGGGAAATTTCTCAGAGGAAAAAATAGTCTAAAATATGTAAGTGTATCATAAGTCAACTTTCCCAATTTTTTATTCATTGATTAAACATAGTACAGTTAAATGATAGGCAATTAAGTATTTTGAAAGTGTCATCTATTTTTTTAACATAATTCCATTCTTGCAGAGGCATTTATAGCAGTGCACTACCAGTTGTTCCATATCTTTGCAAGAAACTCCTGGTCCTCATAACTGGATATAGTGGTTTGTGGATTTTAGTTTGTACTTCTTAGTCTGGCCAGTAGCATTTCCCTCAGAGATGCTTTTTTGAATTGTGGGAAAAAGTGGAAGTCTGGGCCAAAATCTCTCACTTTTACTTCTGAAGCAATGAAATTGTTTTTGGCAGTGGGTGCACATTGTTGTGAAAAACACAACACCATGGGACAAAAGACCTGGCCGCTTGTGACAAATGGCCTCCTTCAAACAAGCATTTCCTGATAAGCATTGGCATTCACTGTCATCCCTCTTGGTGAGAACTCCATTGGCAGATACCCATGAATGTTTCAAATGAGAGTCACCAAAGCTTTTCCAGAACTTGCTGATGCCAAACTTTTTGTTGACAAATGCTGGATGTTTCCATTTCATGGATTCCTTCTTTGTTTTAGATTATGTGATGAATCCAGGTTTTGTTTCCAGTGACAATGAAACTCAAAAATTCTTTCCTCTCTTTCATACAATGGTACAAGCATTCCAAAGACACAGGTACTTTTGATTTGTGCCTGGAGACTTTGTGGAAACCCAAATGCTCATGGACAGTGTCCCACATTAATAGCCAAATATGTCCTTCAGTTTGTTTAAAGTGATTTGTCTGTTTGTTCAAACCACTTTGTTGATACAGAATAAGCTCATTTGAAGTTGATGGATGATTGTGTCCTTCCCAAATCAAATTCTTAGTACCAAAATTACGCTTGTTTCACAGCTATTACAGCACTTTTGTACACAATTGCCAGCTTCCAAAGAATCTCACATAGCATAGTCTCTGTCCAAAAATCAAATTATGCCTAGTAATACTCAGTAATCACTTTAGTCATAGTCACTCACATGTACTTTTCAAAATGTGAATGAAATCTGGTGTGCAGGCTTGCCATCAGACGCTGTGACTGGAACATGCATAAAACCTTCTAACTGTCAAAACATTTCCCTAATTTTTTCATGATAATTGATGCAAGGAATTATGTAATATTAATTTTTGATACACCCATTTATAAATAATAAAACATTTATTGATATTAACATATACAGTAGAGCGTTGATTATCCGAAAGAATTCCAGTCAGCAAATTTAAATTTTCACTAGCGCTGTGGTACTGCAATCTTTGGCTATATCTTGGGCTACTTAAATATTTTACGTTTTTGATACTAAATTAACTTCTGAAGTATGATTGTTTATTGTTTTTATATTTTTCAATATATTTATTTTGTTTGTACAAAATAAAAAAATAATTTTTAACAATACAATAGTCTTAGTTAGGCTTAACATCGACGAAAATTCAACGCGAAGCGACACGCAACGGAGAAAAATTTCGACATCGGATATGTTAAATTATTTTTTCGTACATAATCGGTTATTTGAAATATCAGTTATCCGAACAACCCCAGTCCCCAATTGATTCGGATAATCGATGCTCTACTGTATTATCACAAGATTGATGCATCAGATTATATTAGTTGTATAATCTAATGCAATATAATTTATCAAAGAAGCAAAGATTAGATAGAAATCTTGAAGACTTTGCAAATGCAAGGGTTGCCTCTTTCTGTTAATACAACAAAGTTGCACTATATCTACAGTGACCATATTTTTGGGGGGAAAATAAAGGACATATCGAAGAAAATCAAAAAATACCTTATAAAATTCATAAGTTTATAACATTTATTACGAAAATAGTAGCATACAACAATGCATACATTAAAATTTTAAACAATCTGAATTATTACACATACACACATTGTAAAAATTTAAATAACATTAATTTTGATACTTTTCAGTAGAATTAATTTTTTTTTATAGCGCCGTTTCATGCTTTAAAGTCATAAAATTCCATACAGTTCATTTGAAAGTTGTATTTGATGGAAATACATGCTTCTAATGTGCTTACTTTTAAATCAGTTTTTTCATTCGTCCACATATTATTCACCAATGAAAATATTCGTTCAACGGGGGCATTAGATCCAGGGAGACAAAGAAAATTCTACGATTTTACAAATGTTTTTGAAAACAATTTCTTTTGCTGTAAAATGTTCAAAAATCTCAATCCACCTTTGATGGCAGGGCTGGTTATTCTGTCACCATTCGTCGATCTTTTCGTTTGTGACATATTTTTTTACACATGAAACTTCATCAAATAATTCACCGTCGAGTATATTTACGGACCAATGATTCGAAATAAAGATATAGCTTTCCTCTACTTTCGCCCACAAAGGGATTTCGCATAATGTGACCCATTCAAACACCTCTATTTCAATAAAAAACATGTCCCAATTATTTAGATAATCTATGCACGTTTGATAAAATGTGTACACAGCATCATTGAATTTTTTGGCTTGTATATTTTCTGATTTTTCTAATGCTAAAACCACTTTTCTAATAACAATAGGAAGAAACCCCTCATTTTTTCTTTCAACTAACTTCAGCTTTAATTAACAAGTGTATCATCCATCAACTAGAGAGTTAAAAAACTATCACAAAAATCCCCATAAGAGTGTCCACCCCCTGGTACTGTCAGTGGGCCGTTTGGTTGGCGACACACTGCACTACTGCGCTCTATGTAGCAATGCAACACTGGTCGTGATGGCGTATACAAAACTAACTTGTTCAATATATTATTAAAAAAAATTTTTTTAAACTTTGCGTCAACTTTACAAAATAAAGGACAAAATGCCTATTTTAGAAAATAAATAAAGTTAAAGGACAGAGCAGTGAAATAAAGGACTGTCCTCTTAAATAAAGGATGTATGGTCACTGTAACTATATCCCACTGCTAGTAAGAGTTTTGTTAGTAACATAGAAGTTTGGATATACCTATAAATTAGTTATGTAATTACTCAACTACTTGAGTGTAAAAATGAAAAATTTTTAATGAAATCAGTATGTTTATTTAATAAGTGAATTATAATTAACTAAAGAATTTGACTCAAAAAATTTCTTTTTATAACAAAAGTATAATATTTATTAAATAGATCAAGATGATCCCCATTGAAGATATTAAAGCCGAAATGTTGGACATCGAAAAGAAGCAGCAACAGTTGGAAAAGCGAGGTCGAGAATTAGAAATGTTGATCAGAGAACGTGAAGGTACGCAATTTAATACAGAATCTATGATTGCCATTTTAACTTTAATTTAAAATAAAAAAAGGTGATGTTTATTGACCACCTCATTTTTCTTAAATTTAAGACGTGCCTAGTCTCCTTATAAGGAAATTGTGACAAACTTTTCTTTAGAAATACAATATATTCTTGTTAATAGGGACATCTCAATACCACAAAAGTATCCACACCAGTATCATGAGTAGTTTTAAAGTATCGGTATTGATCTTAATGTATTGATACTAGCCAGTATTGGCATCGGGTATCAAAATTGGAAATCAAGCAGGTCCTTGCTGTTCAGTCTGTGGCTTGTTTATCGAAACTTTTAATTTTAACAATAACTGAAACAATAAAGCACATTATATTCAAATATTAAAACTTATTTCTAATATAAACTAAATGTTACTAATATTGTATAAATTGATTTAACATTTTAATGTATTTTTGAATTTTTTTCAACTAATTGGCAAATTATTTATAATAATCTGAACTCCTAACCATAGTGTATGTGGATTCTGAAAATGAAATTTGATGTAATAAATTTATTGATTTTGGTTATTAATATTTATTATATAAATTTAATTTAACCAAAAATAGTATAAGATTTGTTTCAGTTTTGGCTGAAACTGACTTCTTCCAGTTTTGGATTCAGCTGCAAAATCCAACTTTGGTTGGATCTTACCTGTCTGAAAAATGTAACAATCTGATACCAAGAAGAGATAGTGATATTGGACCAAAAGTATCAAATACAAAAATTACATGGTATTGGCAGTATTGGGACTTCCCTACTTGTTAATCTGAACCTGTGGTAAATTAAATGCCACTTAATCCAAATCAATTTTGCTTGTTTTGTAGCTGTGTTCCAATTAAAAAGAAATTGATGGCCAGATGGCCAAGCAATTAAGGTGTCAGCCTACTGCTCTGAGGAACCTAGAACAAACCCAGATGGGCTGAAAACCTCTGGAATTTTTTGGTGGGTGGTCTGTCCCAGATATGTGGGCCATGTCCCATACTACCCGTCTGCCCCGTAGTGGACCTGGCCAAACCTGCAATAGACTTGATAAAAGGTCATCTTAGTAAAAAGAAAAATGGAATCAGATTTTTAAAAACAGCAAATTTGTAAAATTAATATGTACTACACACTTATATATAAAATGTTTAATTATATATAATTAAACATTTTATATATATGTGGGTACTATAGATGGCTGGGTGCCAATCAGTGTAGAAAGAATATGAAGAACTTCTTATGACGTATAATGAAGTATATTGTAATACAATACAGAAAAAACATTACAAAATGAGGAGCACTAAACAAGTCATCTTGATACTAATTATTAAACGGATATTAATCATCATGATGAGGACACACCATTCGTGCTATGTTGTTGCTCTAACAGTCCTTCTTTTTTCCCACCTGCGCAGGATGCTTGCACATGACATCGGACTCGACCAAGTCATGTCAACGTGAGGGACGGGCACCACATATATTTGTTGTATTTACCTAGTCCTTTTTCGCCTCCATTTTTTTTCCAATATAAAATTCAATTAATCTGAACAATCTTGTGCAATAATTAGTTTAACTTAGTGTGTACTGTAGTCTATTCCCCCCAGTTATCAAGAACCGGAAATGTTGCACAGTTAATCCTTTTTATAATGCGGTAATAAATAATTATGTATATTTGACACTGTTAAACAACTGTTATTACAAGTTAAAATATAAGTATAGAAGATCATTCAGTGCTATTAGCCGCACTTTCAAATATTTTGTAGAATTATCAACTCACAAAATATTACAGTAGAACCTCGATTATCCGCCCCCCTATCAACCGACCCCTCGGTTAACCGACCGTCCTGGTCGGCAAATTTCAAATGTCCGCTAGTGATGTGGCGCTACAATAGCGACGATTATTATTTTAAAAAATTTTTGTTAGGCTTAACATCGATGAAAATTCAATGCAAAATAGGTTAATAGCGATATACTAATTACATGGGATATAATAATATACTACACTAATAATGGATTTTTTCATACTTTTCGGTTATCCGACCAACCCCAGTCCCCAATTAGGGCGGATAATCGAGGTTCTACTGTATCATCTAACAATATGTTGTTGTTATAAAACAGTTTCTCACTTTAACATAAAAGCATAAAAAACAGAAAAATATATCAATACTATTCATAAATATTTATAGAAACTAAACAGTCTATATGGTAGCTGTTAAGAATGATGCTGCATGCCAAGTTATATACTGTGCTTGCCCAAATGATTATTACTATTTCACAATATAATCAATTAAAGTAATTTTTGTAAATGTATTAATGATAATTTTAATATGTTTAATAGATTCTGAAATATCCATGGAAGAAGAAAAGGCCATATTAGATTTATTCGAGTTAGTAAATCTGAAGAATGCCTTATTTAGAAGACAAGCTGAATTAATGTACATGTAAGTAAATAGTTTGTTTATACAGATTTTAACCAGTATAATAAAAGATGTATAAGAGAGAGAAAGATTAAAATAAAATAGGAATTTTATTGATTTAAATACCTTCCAGAATTTTGTTTTTAGTTTTTTAGGTTGCAAACATTGTTCCAATTTGTTAATGACAGAAAAAATATTTCTCTGTATCTATCAATTTCAATCCTAAATAATTACTTTAATAGTTATGTGCTAAATTAAATCAAAATATTTACTAAATAAATATTTTCTTTCCTCAAATATTTCTGAGAATACGTTATTATTTTATCAGTTCTTACAATTGATTAATAGACCTTGTTGTCAAACGATAAGTAATAAAGTTGTACCCCATTTGTCATTCTTTGTATTAATACAGTTGAAGATAGTATACAGTACATCTGTATAAAATTTTGATCATTTGATAAAGATTACATCTATAAAGAGTTGCTAATTTTCTCTCTCTCCTGATAGACTTTCAAGAACTTTCAAAGGAAAATGAAATAATTAATAGTAGATAAAATAGATCACTTAATGTTCCTTAAGATAAACATTAATTAATATAAGATTCTTTTGAAATAATTTTATATAAAATGTTGTAGGAACAACATCTGGTATTGAACTCTTTCATTCTAAATTTTGAAATATATTTTTTAGTAAATAAAATGTGAATTTATTCTCATAGAATGATTTGAAAAAGTCAGATGCTGAAAATTGTGTCTGACTTGCAAGTCGAAAGAAATAACTAGAATATTTAAAAGAAATTAATACTGCATTTTCTTACATCTACAAAATACATTTGTGAAATATAAAGCAGAACATGAAAAAAGTCCCATTTTTAGAATGTAAAAATAAAGCAATTATTAAAAATATATTGTTTTCAGAAAAAGATCTCAGAGATTGGAAGAAGAACAGGTAGAGATTGAATTCCAAATTCGGTGTCTGATGAATAAACCTGGTAAGATTTTCTTTAGAATATTATTTTAGAACTTCTTTTTTCAATTTTGTAATTTATATATTTAATCAATATGACACATAAGAAAGAGACAAGTGATAGTGGCAATAGAAAACATTTTAGTGTAGCATTAAAGAAAGAAATTATTACAAAACATGAGAATGTCATTTGTGTTTCTGACACTACTAAAGAATATAATGTGGCAAAATCAACTATCTCTACAATTATTAAAAACAAAGAAGCATTTAAGGCTGCTGAAGTGGCTAAAGGAGTGTATGTGATATCAAAACAAAGATCTAAAGTTTTAGATAAAGTTGAAAAACTGTTGCTAATATGGATCAATGAAAAGCAACTTGCTGGAGACAGTGTTAGTGAAGCTATAATTTGTGAAAAGGCTAAAAATTCACACAGTGACTTGTTGACACAGACACCCAGTACAAGTGCAGATGGGCAGACTTTAAAGCGAGCTGAGGGTGGTTTGATAAGTTTCGTTGACAAAATGGCATTCACAGTGTCATAAGGCATGGGGAGACTTCAAGTTCAGATGAAAAAGCAGCAAAAACATTTGTGGATGAATTTGTAGAGTTTGTAAAAAGTGAAGAGTATGTCTGAAATCAAGTGTTTAACCCTTAGAGCATTTTGGAAGGTGTAATATAACATCCTGCATGGTATCGACCTTATTGACAAAGCCTGGAGTGAGATATCTCACTGCATTTTGCATTTGACTTGTAGGAAACTTTGGCCAACTTTTGTCCCAGAGTAAAACTTTGAGGGATTTGAAGCAGAGAGCTCTCCTGATGTAGTGCATGAAATCATTTCTATTGGCAAGAGTTTGGGATTAGAGGTTGATGATGCAGACATGGAAGAGTTGATGAAGGACCATCAAAATGAACTAACTGCAGAAGAGCTGGTTGCCTTGCATGAAGAACAGGTGAAAGTCTTACAAGAAGAGCATTCATCAGAAGAAGAGAAGGTTAGGCAAGAAATCACAAGTGCTGAGATCAAGGAAATTTGCAGAAAATGGAATGATGTGCAGGAATATTTATCGAGAAGCACCACCCTAACAAAGTTGTGACTAATAGGGCCATTAATTTAATGAATGACAATGCGATATCACATTTTATAAAAATTTTGATTAAAAAAATAAGACAATTAACTTTAGACCACTTTCTTGTTCCCCATCAAAAGAGACCTTGACTCGAATAATCTCCCAATGCATTGCTACCTGATATTTTTATAGAGGGGGCTTCCCCTTCCAAGTATTAAGCTCCACTCGTCTGCCACCAACTACAACAAAAAAAATGTATGTACAGTAGAGTGCTATTTTATTAAATAAAGTTTACATATTTGTTGCTGTAATGATAATACTATGTTTTCCTATATTTTCATCAAAGAAAACCAACCCATTTTACAAATAAAATTACAAAAATTCTGGAGGCTAGAATGGATAAATTGTACTTGAATTAATTTCTATGGAAAAAATTGCTTTGGTTAATGAACAGAGTTGCAGAATGGATTAAGTTTGTCAACTGAGATTCCACTGTATAATGCAATAAGATTACATTTTCAGTTAACAGATGTTCATTTAAACTTAATTATTTTGATTAATGTACTACATGATGGCATATTGTTGTGTAATTCACTGTCATTAGAAGTAGATGATTNTTGCAGAATGGATTAAGTTTGTCAACTGAGATTCCACTGTATAATGCAATAAGATTACATTTTCAGTTAACAGATGTTCATTTAAACTTAATTATAGAGTGCTATTTTATTAAATAAAGTTTACATATTTGTTGCTGTAATGATAATACTATGTTTTCCTATATTTTCATCAAAGAAAACCAACCCATTTTACAAATAAAATTACAAAAATTCTGGAGGCTAGAATGGATAAATTGTACTTGAATTAATTTCTATGGAAAAAATTGCTTTGGTTAATGAACAGAGTTGCAGAATGGATTAAGTTTGTCAACTGAGATTCCACTGTATAATGCAATAAGATTACATTTTCAGTTAACAGATGTTCATTTAAACTTAATTATTTTGATTAATGTACTACATGATGGCATATTGTTGTGTAATTCACTGTCATTAGAAGTAGATGATTNTTGCAGAATGGATTAAGTTTGTCAACTGAGATTCCACTGTATAATGCAATAAGATTACATTTTCAGTTAACAGATGTTCATTTAAACTTAATTATTTTGATTAATGTACTACATGATGGCATATTGTTGTGTAATTCACTGTCATTAGAAGTAGATGATTTGGATAATTCATGATCTTCAATTCCACTGTCATTTTTGAATAATGCTTCACCAGGAATGTCATCAAAATCTTCATTGACTAATATCTGACTTGGGACAAGCTTGTCCCGAGTCAGATATTTATGCACCATTACTCAACCACCACAGATTGTAAAGTGAAAGCACATATCCAGCAAGAAATAGGCTATACAGGCTACAAAACAAGCATGCAATGACAAGTTATAATATGTTTAGAAGCAGGTGTTCACATAACAACATGCTTTAGCATATGTACAGTATGTGACCAGAGGGTTGGCACTTCTTTAGTGCCTAGTCAGGATAGACACAGAAACTTTAACGGTCGCAACTTTGGAATTTGTGCGAGCAGTCGTGTGCATGGGCATGAGTGTTGAGAGATGGCAGATCAGAAGAAGTGCACACTACTACTAAATTAGAACAGAAAATACATGTTTATTTATATAAATATTTACACACACACACAAGGTAACCGAGAATTCTGTTTAGCTTTCTAGTAGCGAGTTAAAGTATCTATAGGCATATAGCGTCATCTGAGGTTAATGGATTCCTGGCTGAGAAAGAGCTTACAATAGTATGCGCGAGGTGAAATATTTTGATCAGCAGCTTGTCGTGTTGATCGATGATCATAGAGATGATAATGTCTGTCTCTTTTTCATCGTCAAAGGGAATTTGTCGGCTTGTCAGATTTTGGAACAGCAACAGGATCAGATTGGCAATCAAGAGAATGGAGAAAGGCAAACGAAGCAGTCAGTGATCGAGCATTCATGTCAAAAAAGAAGGGAGTCGGATTGGTGGACTCTCGACAACCCCTCATCCTTGAGTCACTCCTTTTCATATCCTCAAGCCACGTTATCATTTTTCACCAATCGTGAATTTGTGCTATTAGTTCCCTGGGAAAGAAAATGACTCTGGAGAGAGAGCTGCGATCATCCTCCAGTAATAAAATTAGAAAACTTTTGAAAGATAAATTTTCTCTCCCAATTTTCGTCAAGTCCAATCCTCACAAGTACACAAGTCAATGTGCTCAAATAATAAGCTTATAAAATTGTTTAATGCATCTATTCATATTTTATCATTAATGACCACATGGAATCAATTACTGATCTCGACCCAAAAATAATTTTATTTTAGGGGAATATTTTATGTTTTTTTGGACAAAATCTTATAATATATTATATAATAGTGTAAAACTTAGCTAAAAATTATGAAAGTGCTAAAAGATTTTTGTGTTAAATATTCAACAAAAACTGGCATTGGAGTCATAAAATGACCCCACCTGGTCATTGGAAGGTTAATTACCTCTAGATTACTATTTAAATGTCACCTGTAATCGAGTGCACCGGCTTCGGTACAGTCAAATATTTTTCTGCAGACCAGAACTGGCACCAACAGTTGAAAACATTGGTGTATACTCTAATGAAATTTTTCTGTTGAAAATTATGAGTATATATGCATGGGAATTTCCTGAAACTCTAAAACATTGACATTTTATTGTAAGATTATTTATGTTGTGTTATGTTATCAGATGTTTAATGTCTGCTAACATTAAACATCTGATAACATATGCAAAATTTCATTTTGTAGATTTTTCTGTTGATTGATTAACTTGTCAAAGATTAAATTACTAACAGATGTGTTACGAATAAAAATAATCTTCACATAAAATAATGCTAATATAGTTATCGATTACTTTATACATACAGTATATATACTTATTTTCTTTATTTTCTCCATTTAGCCAACGAAAGAAGAGAAGAGGATGCTTCAAAAGAGGAAGAGTTGCTCCAGAGACTTTTGGATGTGGTTGAACAACGAAACGAAATAGTAGACACTATTGAAATGGATAGGAAAAGGTCAGTTTTATAGAATGTGAATCACTTTTAAAGTTACTCTGTACAGGTATCTTTTATTACATATATTCTCACTTACAGAATTTTGCTATAATGTGATTTTGAAAAATAAAAATAAACACTGAATTAATTATTATAAACTCTGAATACACTGTAATTCAAGTTTAAATGTTTTAAATTCAAGCCAGTACTTCACAAGGAATATAAGAATATGTTTACAAAGATTCAAAGTTTAATTTATATTTACTCTATCTAAACAAAGTATACTGATCAAAATTAAAAAATTGCAACTTTGGAATGAACGTTGGAACATCAACCCAGAAGTTACCCACCGAAAGTGCTTTTTGATGGTCTAATCTGGATTTTTGACACTTCGCCGTATTCAGAATTTGACTTTCATCGTCTGCTCTTGATTCTGATTTAGAGCTGAGATTTTACTTACACATAATCAACTGTTGCTCTTCCATTAGTTTGACATAAATTCTCAAAGGATATTCTGTCAGTAACTTTTTATGAATGATCCAGGAAATGCTTGCTGCCAAACATTATCAAGTATGCTATAAAATACATCTATTGGCCATCTTTGGAATGCAGCTCTCATAGAATATTTATTCATTCTCTGATCAACGTTTGTAGTGTTGTATAATAGATTTCTATGTTTCAGGAATTTTCCCTTCCTCCTTTGTCTGGTTTAATGTTTGTTTTGAGCAGTCTGCATCCAAAAACACTCATTTTATTACCTAGATAGATAGTGAGGTTTGCTTTATTCCATTCCATTTTTTTTACTCTTACCAATAATAAGGCTTTTAGGAGCTATTGTTATTGATTGTATATGTTTTCCTCTATGCTTCAAGCAATCCATAGCTGGACAAACTAAATGTGCCACAATATGTCAGCAGTAAATAATGTTTAAAGTAGAGTTAAAGAATATGAAATGGTAAAATCAACAGCTGATGACCTACCTGTTCTGTAGAATCTACACACAAATATATTTGTATGAATATACAGTATGTTTCTGAGAATGAAGACAAGTGAAAAAATTTCAAACTCATACTGTAAAAATTACAAGAATGGCACATTCACAAAATTTACTAATGATAACAGTTTTGGCTTGCTGCTGTTAAATGACATGGCTGCAAGTATGCCTGCATATCTGATTGAACAACCAAGTTATAATTGTTCAGTTTTTACAAATAGTGTCTTGAATTTTTAAGACACTCAAATTCCAATTGTGCAATAACTTCTTAACTGGAGTTGAAAATCAGTTCTTTTATCCAGAAACTTCTAAGGAATAGCAAAAGGATTATCCAGACTTGGTTCCTGCATCATTAATTCATATGATCTACATTTGTATTTCTAAATTTTAGCTTTTTACAATTGGTAAAGAAATGTCTTTGAATACTATTATTATTTTTTTTATTTTGAGATACATGTAAAAATCAATTCACTGACATTTTCTTGAAATCAATCAATTATGTAATAGGGGATGCCTGTATATTTTTTAATGTAATTTGTTGTAAAATGTTAATAATAAATACAAAGAAATTTTTTAAGATTCTGTATATTCAATACAATTTTTAACTTGATAATGAATATAGAGTAGGCATAACCATTCACTTAGTTCTATATGTTATTTTATTAATAATAAAATATGTCACATTTAATTAACATTTCAAAGTTGAATTCAAAAAAGTCATATTAAGACTTTTTATAACTAACTCTTAAATATTGGCTATTAAAAATAGAACTACCCTACATGCATAAGCAAGCACATAAACTACAACAGTTGTTGGTGTTCTTGCTTATGTAAAATGAATCGATATAATTATTTATATTTTGATGCTGTAACACTGAGTTTAATCAAAATAATTCTAAAATGTTCTTTTAATTAATTTATACTTAGTATAGGTTGGAATGATTATTAATGCCAACCAACTTTGTCAAATTTTGGAACTGCTAGTACCCATTTAATCTCCAAAGTATTATTAAACCTGTTCTTATTATTCTATAATTCAATCTACTTTTTCATTAAACGAATCAAATTTAAATAACAATATAAGCATAAATTCTGTAACTCTACAAACGATTGCAATGGTTTCATAAACTTTTTTGTGAGCACAGTATTACAGACGTTTTATATTATCAATCGATCGAGGGGGTCATTTTATAGCACTGTAGGCTGACAATACTAATCGCTGATCACTTCTCTAACATTGTGTGCATAGCGTCAGCTTTTATTTTAAAATTGCAGCCACCGATTGTCAGAAATTATGATTGTATCTTTTATATTCATACTTTTCCTTGTTCATAACATTTTATTTATGTTTATTTTTTTGTAATTAGATACGATACAGCTTAAAAATAAACATATCAAGTTTCACTTGCCAGTAAATTATCTCATCTTTCACCAATTGACTTCCATCGGTTTTTTGTAATCAGAGAGAGAGAAATAGATTGGGTGTCAATGTCGAGTAGTAAGTGTTTATTGCTTCTGTGGTAAGCTGAGTAGAGTGGGAGGAGTCTCATCCATTTCTATAATAAACAAACCGCTAAATGTTTTATTACCATCTAAACAAAAGCTCCCCATATCAGTTGTTGATCTTAGTAATTGGAGAGGGGTAGATCGTGTGTCAAGGTCAGGTTAGTAAAAGTTTATTACTCTCAAAAGAGTGTCATGAGAGCTGCCACCCACTCCCCACCATTGATGACAAGGTGACTCTGTAAACAAAAACTCTAGTGGGCCAGATGTCAATGTTATTGTGTAATTGTATTGAAAAGAATGTTGTCTTTGATGTTTAAGAAATCAGTTTTGTCAGAACTGTTTAATTTTAATTGAACATAATGTCGATTATCTTAATAGTTTTCTTATAATTTATTTCTGCTTAGTTTCGAAAAATGTTTTTATGGCATTTTAAATCGATTTGTTTTAAAAGTAATATACTTGTATAAAGTGTAAAAATTGCAATGAACATTTTGTTGTTTCAAGAAATATTTATTGATTATAACAGTTCAAGTTTGCAAATGTTTTCATATCGCGACCTCTTCGTTATTTTATATATATATTAATAAAATATATTGCCATTTTGTAAACAGATCTTATTAAACTATTGGAAACAATCTGACGATGTTTTGAAATAGAATAAAAATAATTATGAGCGATACATTGCATTATCACTATCAACTACTTTCAGGTTCTGAGTAGACTTACAATTTGTAATGTTCATGAATGTCAAACAAGGTAGTAAAACTTTCGCTCTTAGATTTCAGTAGTTGAATATCGAAAGTTGTCCTTTCTATGGAACTGATCTAGTCTTGCATTACCTGGATATGGAAAAGAAGTCAATTGGAGAGCAACGACAGTAAATAGGGACTAATTGGAATGGTTAATTTGGAGACCCACTCTTTAAAATTCCAGATAATTTAAGATCCCAGTTGTTGAGTAACATGTTCCATCCTTTTCTTTACCAATCTATTCTCAATAATAAGCTAGAGCACTGTTCTGGGGCAGACAAATCCACGCCGAAACATTATTGGCAACATGATATTTCTCTTTTTAAGTAGTTGAAAAGAGAAATATCATCATGAGAAAAAGCTTTTAAAATTATATGAAGCGTGCAATGCCAAAAAAGAAACTTTTCAGGAAAGGTAAAAAACATTTTTTCTAATGAATGAATTCATTTCAATTTTACACTAAAATGATTAAAAAACTCACTGGGTTTGTTACAAATTCTCTGGAATATCAAAATGATGTACATACAAACTGCAATGTTTTATGTGCCAAAAGTCATGTGACTTGCACTCTGGCACTTTAAACATAATATTTTCACATAAATTCATCTTCAAAATACAGCCACTTACAATACCAATATTGCCACAATATTCTTTTGTGGCAGAAAACATTGCATTTAGAATTCAATTCTTCAATAAAATGTATTTAGAGAAAAATGGCACTTACCACATTACGGCATTACATGCTTCATATATATATAAAGCTTTATATATTTATAAGTTTTGCATCTGTTTTATTTTTGAAAGATGAGAATATAATAGTAAAGGTAGAGAGTGGGCAGAAGATGTCTCATGTTGCTGGGCAGTATGGCTTGAACAGGTTTACAGTATAATCAAGAAGATTCAAGCAGCTAAAGGAGTAACAAAAATCACATCTGAGAAATAGAGCATTGAAGAGTTCATAATGGAACTCGAAATGATCTGACGACAGAACAACGCCAAAAACTCTTGAATGAAGAACACCAAGAAACTCGGCAAGATATGTTTTCTTCTGAAAAAGCCTCCATGCCTATTAACCTCAACCCGGTTTGTATGCCATTCTAAGACCATTGTTCTGACATCCTCCCACTTCTTCAAAAGATCTTTAAAAGCAGATGTTGGCATTAATCCTCAAGATCTTTTGAAGAAGTGGGAGGATGTCAGAACAATGGTCTTAGAATGGCATACAAACCGGGTTGAGGTTAATAGGCATGGAGATCTCTATGACAACAATGCTATTAATTACTTCTGAAAAATCCCAGAGAGAAAAGCAATCGACATCAGACAGATTCTTTAACCCCCACAAATGGAAAAAACATGACTATATTTATATGTAATAATGAAAATACATATGTACAAATGTAATAAGAAAGTACATATTTTTTAATTTTTGGGGTCTCCAGAACAAATTAATTAAATTCCCATAAAATCCTATGGTAAATCTATAATTGGTTAACGAACAATTTGGATAGCAAACAAAGTCTTGGAACGGATTATGTGCATTAACCGATCACCCACTGTATATTGTAAAATAGATTATAATCTATTATTAATTATTATAGTTTTTAAAATATATTTATATCAATTATTTCTTATTAACAAAAACTATTTCCAATGCCCAGTAGGGAATTGCAAGAAGACAAAAGTATAAAAGAACATATGGACCAGAAACAAAGTAAGGCTTTTCTTAATTTACTAATTGAATTTTTGCTACATTCCTCTATCTATAATCATGGTTTTAAAATATTTGGTTTGATTTCTTTTTTTGTTCCATAAATATATATATATAAAAGGAAATAACCAAACATAAATTCATTTGCACCACTTTTCAGTTACACTATAGAATAAGCTATTTGCAAAATAATTTGTTGCTAAAAGATTAAAATCAACTTAATGCTGAGAGTATTTTATGTGGAAAATCTTTACTTACATTACTACTTTCTATTTCTAGAGAAATTTTCCTATTTTATTAGATAATTGGTAGAGTACAGCTTTGACTTGCATGGCTAAATTCCTGTTATCCCTCTAGCAAGAGTTTCTTCCTCACAAGTTTTCCATACTCCAAATTGGAACTATAGTTTAAATATAAATGAACCGGAGATCAAAATTTTTATCAATGCCAATTTTCTATATTGCTTGTAAGTCTTGGTTGGTGCTGCCAGTTTTGGTGGTACTGGCAATATAGTAAAAATTGTTGGCCAGTGCCACCATATTATCTTTGGCTCAAGAAAAGGAAAAACTTCTTTATAAAGACAGATTGATTACAAATTGCTAATTAAGTAGCTTCCTTAATTAATAAAGTTGAAATCTCATCTAACTTTTTCTCCTTTCTTACTTATCTTATTAACAGCATTATAGGTTTAGCTAGTAGAGTGAAAAATTTTAATCTCAGTCTTTACCGATTGTAAAAAAACTTTCTAATTTACTAATGTTATATGGCAGGGGTGGGCAAACAAGAGTTAAGTGGGTGCCGAAATAGGTTTTGCAAAATGCATGGGAGCTGCAGATCTGTACTGCACTTTTATTATATAACATATTTTCACAAAATTGTAAAAATAATAAAAAGCAGAAAACACTTTCAGCAAGAGCCGCATGTAACTCAAAAGAGCTGCATTTGCCCATGTCTGTTATGTGGTAATCAATTCTAGGGTATCTTTAAGCTGAATAATATAAGTGTTAGCTTTGTGTGGAATAAGATGATGATATTTTATTATCTTTACTGATCAATACCAAACTGGGGATTATATATAAAAATTATGGTTTGCAACTTATTTGGAACTTATTATGGGATTCACTTTCTTTAAACTATTAAAAGGATTTATATTTTAAGAACCACCAGCCTAATAGATACTCAATATTAGACAGTCTTGAAGTTAGTAAAAATAACTATTGAAATCAGACCACATTAATATTCAAATGTACTGTATGTTAAAGAAATGCTTATTCAAATCACAAAACAATTTTCATGGGCTATTAACTACAAATCTTGGCCAAATTTCATTTGTGACACCCAAAGACATCACAGGAGTGTGGCAATCCTTCAACACTTCAAAAACATTTATTGTATAGTACTTAAAAAGGACCAAAAAAATTTGTAATTAATGATAATCTTCAATTTTTGATGCTTGTATGAGTGAATAGCTACCGTTGTTATTTTTGTATTGATTTTTCGGTTAATACTTGGTTAGCACGTCATATTGTTTAAATAATTTATAATGGGTGTCATCTCTGAGGAATACATTTAATACTGGTAAGAATAAATGAATTGAATTGTTGAGCAGTTGATGCTCAAGAGAGTATTTTTGTTGTTGGTTGTCCTAGCCTACAAAACTTTGTCACAATGTAAAGAATAGTCATTTGAACAAATCCAACATGTGGAATTTGCCCCAATTAATTTGTGCATATGTTTATATGACCTATAATTTAATTAAAGTTGTGGCAATAATCATATTTTGTGATTGCCACATTTGTTAATTAATTAGTACTTTAATTTGGGCTTTACAAAAATTGTAAATTCAAATTTTACATGGATAAGCGAGAGACTCAGATTAAGTCATCAGATTAATGAATGTAAACAAGAAAAATCTTAGTTCACACTTCAATAAAATATTTTAAGTTTTTTAAAATTATTTTTCATATTTTATAAAAATAGTTCTATGTCAGTTGAAGACTCAAGCAATCAATATGTTAAATGAAGTTTTTTGTTAAAGTAAATAATTATTAGATTTTTTCTTCTTAAATATAGCGGAAATGAAAGAAAAATGGAAAGGAACTCTAAAGAAGAAGATCAAGAACAAAGATAAAAAATCAAAAGGAAAGAATAAAAAACAAAGTTCTTCCAAAGGCGAACAAACAAACAAAGATTCAAAACATAAAAAAAATTGGTTTTAAGAAACTTTTATAAAAATTTTATGATAAATGACGACTGTAATTGCTGGATAATGAAATAGTATCCAAGCCAGTGTACAGTACAAACACTGTAATTTGTGTACAGAAATTTAAATTTATTTATAACTAACTAGTTTATACATAAAAATATTTAATTTTAAAACGAAATCTTCCAACATGTTAAATTCACAAACAGTCTGTACACTTCACTAAATTGTTATTACTTAATTTTTTTTAAATTGTAAAATTTTACATATTTATAATTGTGCCATTTTAAGATGCGTTAGAAATCTCTTACATCGCGGGAAATCGGAAGTAGTCGAGAACAAAACTAATGTTACTAAAAGTTTGCAGCTTAAAAATAATGTTAAGGATTAACCGCAGATTAATTTGTTCTCAAAATGAATCATTGCTAAGGAAATTATTATTATGTACATAAATTGATTAAGTGAACCTAATGTATTTGGGTTAGAATAAAGCAATTAGCCTAATTTTTTGGGAAAACAATTGGAACAATTTTCGTTTTTATAAATGTGTAAATTAATTTTATAATTTTCGTTTTATCATTGCATAATTTTATTAAATCTTGATGCATCAAGTAAAAAAGAATAATAATAATTTTCATATTGTAAAATGTAAATGTTGGTTGTATCTATTTGATCTCTATTTACAATATTGTATAAATTTCTTTTACTTAAATGAGAACACTATTTTATAAATTAAAAAAATTTTTATAAGAATTAATGTTATACAGTATATATTATACATGTATATGGTGCTACCAGAGTGTAAATTTTGACAATGGCAGCTACAATTAAAAGTTTAATGAAAAAAATTAAAAATAGTTGCTAAATGCTGTTATCTATTTTGTTTTATTTAAGATTGTTTTGATGGTTATAATTGTGACAGAAGAACTAGAACATTAATTCACATAATAAGCTAACTTTCATCTTAGTGTGGAAATTTTGTGTATAAGAATGTGCTGATACCATGAATTAATTAAAGGCTATATATTCTGTCACAATTGTATCTATTACAAGTGACTGGGTTGGTTGGCACAAGAAGAGATGGGAAATGACAATTTGTATTACTGTTACATAATAAATCGTGGTAGTTTAGATTAGGTTTGAGCTTACGTTGGTATACCAATCCACATAAATTACAGATAATAATACTTCCTTCATAATTAACTTTGGATATACTTTATAACAATAGAGAAATTGGCCATTGTCTCCCATCATTAAAGAAATCTGGATAACACACCACAAATCTAAATGTTGTAATTGCTAGTAACTGAACTGAAAATTATCATCATTTGCAATTATTGAATAACTTGATATAGTAGTTAGATTTTTTGGTAGTTAGATTTTTTGGTAGTTAGAGAGATTTTGGTGTATACTCTGTATACACCAAAATCTCTCTAACTACCAAAATTGCTCTATTATGAAACGTTTCAGTCACCAAACGTTTTCGTGTTTTTTTGTATTTTTGCCTCCCTATAATGAAAGGCACCATTTCCCTTCTATCGGACAAGCTCTCCAATTAATGAAGGTGTAGCATGCGTGCGGCACCTGATCAAATTCAACATTGTCGTACGATTAGTCGGCACAAGAACGGATAAGAGGGAAAGATTAATGCACCGAGGGATAAGCGTCTAGTTCCTTGGTAGATGGGCAACCAGAACACAGGGAACTGTGCCAGATATTAGTGTGGTACTGGATGCATGTTTACATTAGTAAGAGCAATCGATTCACATGCTTTGCATAGTTTGCAATTGTTGATGGCTGTGTCATTCTGTGCCAAATTGTTTTGAAAAGGCAGGCATGGACAGTTATGGACAAATTTGTGGGGATAGTGGACAACATTCTGTCTAAAAACATGATGCAAACTACTATTGATACATACTTGTTCATTAAAAATTGATTGGTGTATGCAGTAATTCAGTTACGGTAAAAGTGTTTTTTTATTATATTATGTTCCAATTATAAACTTTTTACTCCATATAACGAAATCTCCTGAAAAACAAAATAGCAAAATTTGGGGGACAAAAGTCAGACAGAGATTCAATAGTGATTTTTAAATAAATTACATTAGAAATAATGTTCATTTTGATTTTTAAAAAATTTCAAATGGAAATTTTTTCCTATCATTCATTCATTCAAGCCAAAAAATTTTTAAAAATTCAAAATCTACATGAATAATAATTTGTATTATGGTGTTAATTAATTCAAATAGTTTTTTGGTGAATATTATCAAAATATAAAAAAACATCCAACACTACAGTTTTTAATTAAAACTTAAGGTACTGAATGGGAGTTGGATAGACTTATAATATACAGTACACTGTGTTTTGAATATTAATGTTAAATGTCGACTCCCAAAAATTGGTAACACTGATTCCTGTATATATAGTCAGTCAATGACTTATATTTTAAATTAATTATTTTATTAAAAAACTTTTATTATAATATCATAACAAATGATGCCCCCATGCAATTTTTAAATGTTGCCAGAAAAGTTTAAAAAAAATCCAGTAAAGAGTATATTTTTTTATTTGCTCTTAAAAGCATGCTTTTTGAATATATTATCAGTGTACAAAAAATATAAAATTAACTATAGATAAGAATTTGAATTTTGTACAAAATTCAAAATTATTTTTATGGCCCAAGTCCAAAAATGCCCTTGTAAAATAAATACTTTTATAGTTGTTGTTTGCTTCATATCTAGTATAATTTGTGTACTTTTTAATTGTACAATCCCAATTCCCACTCAAAACTTTGAGCCTAAATCATCCCTGATCATCAGGTGTCAGATCAAAAGACTTTTTCCATATACAGTAGCAGTACTTGATCAATTTTGACATACATTAGTATTTTCTAATTACCTTAATTTTTAAACATAAATTTGCATATGCTAATTAAAACCAGAAATAGCCAATAAGGGACATATGTTGAAAATCATCGTATAATTTACACTTTCAATGACACCATCATTAAATAAAAAGTATCAGATTTCAGAAATGTAGAATGTATATTATGGCCTCCCAACAGAAAATTAATGAACATGATCTTCAATGTGTATCTTCAATGTGTATCTTCAATGTATCTTTCAATGTGCTTATCTTCAATGTGTTCACTAGTATGCAACACACAATAAAGTCAATGGTTTTAAATACAATACCTAAATCTATATATATAAAATTGCTTGTCCTGACTGACTGACTCATTCACTGATTCATCATCGCCCAGAGCAAACCGCTTAACCTAAAGAGGTGCAATTTGGTACACAGTTAGGGTACGTCATGAAAACACTCACTAAGAAGGGATTTTTCGAAATTCCCCCGCGGGGGGAGAGGGAGAGCATTAAGGGTTAACCGGAAGAATGGCTTCTACTGTACTACTTTAGATGCGATTTTTTGTTTTTATCTACTTTTTAGTAGGGTGCGCCATGGCAGTGCACAATAAGAAGGGAATTTTCGAAATTCCCCGCGGGGGGGAGGGAGAGGATTAAGTTTTAACTGGAAGAACGGCTTCTACTATACTATTTTAGATGCAATTTTTTGTTACGTTTAGTCTTCATTAAGTACTAAGTGTATTAAATTAACAACATTTTAGACATTTGTTATAAATATTTTTATATATTTTGATTTTTTAACCAAATGTTCGAACCTTTTTAAATTATAGAACGATTGTAAACGTTCCAGAAAATTGATCAAATTCAAAATAGTTTGTTTGATGCTCAGCAATTCTCATCATTCTCAGCGGTAGGTGTTATATAACAATTACTATGGTTGTTGAAATACTGAATTATAAATGGGGTTTGCTTGCAGAACCTCCGCGGGTAAAGTCGCGGGTAACAGCTAGTCAATCATAAATTAGATCTTATTTAGTAAAAAAATAATGTCTAACTAAAAATTTATTAGCAAGATTTTTTATTCAAATTTTTCAACTTCATCTAATTTATACTCTAAAAGTGTATCGTTGTCAAAAAATTTAAAGTTTCCATAAAACTTGGAGCCTTTAAGAAATAATGGAAACCAATATTTATCGTCTGCCCACATTTTATCATAAGGTATAGAATTTACAGGATACCATTGTGGTTTCATTTCTATAGATAAATAAATTTATTATTAACGGTATTTTAATTTCAAAACTTATAGGACATTACCTTCACTCTCCTTCGGTTTGCCTTCGTAACTCGATGTGGTAAAGACGTGAACGTTGAGTCTGAGTGGATTCTTCACGAATTCGAAATCCAGGATGCCAACTTTCTTCAGCCAATTAGCTTGAAGATCACTTTCTTCTTTTAATTCTCTGTAAAATACAGAAATATGCTAGTACTTTGTATCAAATTTATTTTTATAATCAATCATTTCTTTTAAAAAACAACTAGAAATAGTTAAAATCAAATATAGATTTTAATGATGATAATGCAGTCTTAAGTAACAACTTATGATATTTTAAGGCAATGTGTTGTTCAAAGCTGAAACTTAATGAAGGTGTGAAATTACTTATTGTTATAATTCAGGTTATACACAAACTGAATGGTCTACTGAAGCAAGCTCAAACTAATTAGACTAAACACATCTTGTCAAGAGACTTCCAGAGTTTATTGCTAAATGGTATCCAAGTACTGAATCTTCAGTATGAACTTAAGAAAGATGGATGCAACCGTGTTGATCGTAAGAAGTATAAACCAATTTTGGGGGTCTTGTTTAATTTTTTCAGACATTACTTTTAAGATTCTCATTCAGCACATTTTGTAGCATTTCAGTTGAGACTAACCCATGAAGAAATATGTCTATTGAAGTGCATGCAGGTCCCATTACGTTGCTGTCAAATCACAAGTTTTGCCGCTATCACTCACTCACACAGAAAAAAATGCTGCATTCTGTTTCCATAACCAGATATTACATACCGTTCCACGATGGATTAGATTTTGTGTATGTTGAAACAGGTTTGCATCGGTATTGGATCTTTTGAAAATTAATCATTACTAAGAGCTGTATTTACATCAAGTTTTCTAGTTGATCTTCAGAATGCAATTACTAAAGTATTGCCCAAGTAGAAATATAGAATGAATCTACATCTGATGACAAATTTTTGTGACATACCTCTCAAGAAAAAATGTTCACGGATATTTACAATTATAGATGAAAAAAAATATTTAGTTGACATAAATGACAAATTTTCCAAACTGGCATCACTAATATCTGTAGTTTTTTTCATACACTATGGCAGCGATTCCCAACCTGGGGTACACAATAGGTTGTTTAGGAATACAGAAAAAAGTTAGTTATTACGACAGAAAAAATAATATACAGTGGTGCCTCGTATAATGTCTGCCTCGAATAACGGATGCTGCAAACAACGAACTTTCTGTTTGGCCATTACGTGACTCAAGCAACGGACTGGCTGCGAACAACGGACTTTCTGTTTGGCAGTTACGTGAGGTGAACAACAAACTTTCTGCGAACAAGTGCGAACAATGTTTCCACTCTTTTGCCATTGCCAATGATAATCTGCTATTTTTATAATATACTAGCTGCAAGGACCCGCTTCCCTGGGTTTTTATTTGTTCGTACATTTTTATGTAATATACTTTTTTTTATATATAAAAGGCTGTTTTTTCTAAGTAATCTAGAATCTAGCTGCAAGGACCCGTTTCGCTGGGTTTTTAAAAAGTAACGATAGTGAAGATTAAGATAATTACATTATAGCCAATCTTACCCGTTTTCACAGAATGCAAGAATTAGGTCCCCCGTTTCCAGACTAATTAGAGACCTGGTCCCGATTCTATTTCTGAACGTCTTCTGTTCACGTCAACTCAAACGAACTATTTTCAACGTTTCTGGAACAAATATAATCGAACCAATATTCGAATTTTATGTTCAATTTAATTCGAACAAAACATTTGAAATAGAAAGCCACTTTCATCAATCCCATATCTCCCGCACCCTTATAGCTATCGAGACGCAACCCACCCTGGTGCACGAATGGAGACTTGGGGCTACTACCACATACAAACACCATTCATGTGCGATGTGTAGTTTTTGCGGAAAAGTGGAATAGGGACACACACGTCCATTTATATATATATAGATTAGTATTATTAGAATATATTATTAGTATATCTGAAGTACAGAGCTCCCGTTGGGATTCAGCTTGCTCCCTTGTTTATTACGTGCATCACATCAGTGCAGGGTATTTACTAGTGATGCAACGAATAGTATATTCGGCCTCAGGCCGAATACTCAGCAGGAGCATGGCCAAATAGCCGAATATTCGGCCAAACTATTTGGCTTGATTAACACATGTATGAAAATTGGCGCGCAAACCACATTATGGCAAGAATCGTGCACCCTGCTCTCTATTGGCTCGCTGTCACTACACTTCTCCAATCGCGTTAATTCTTGACAGTTGTAGCAGACAGACATGAGCGTCATGGCAGTATGTTATAAGTGATGATATCAAATGTGGATAACAATGAAATGACCTACACCTGTAAATAGAGAGGTTGCGGCCGAAGTTTTCAACAGTAAAATGTGTACGTCGGATGTTCAGCGCCGCCTTCCTGTAAGCCTAGAAGTTTGACAATGGCATTTGGAACATCGAGCATGATTCCACTAACGTTCCAAATGCCATTGTCAAACATCTAAGCTTACAGGAAGGTGGCGCTGAACGTCCGTTGTACACATTTTTGCATTGAAAAGTCAGCTGCAACCTCTCTAATAACGGAAAAAGAAGAGAGAAGGACCGCAGAGTGAAAATAAATATGAAATTGAGTCGATAACATAATCGAACAAGTCGAGGCAGCTTATTGGCGAGAAATTTGCAGCCGTAAATGCCAAATAATTGTTCTCGTAGACTTCGGAAAGCTAAATGCTGTAATTAATTAATTAATTAAAATAATTTAGACCTACTGGAAATGCATCTGCACAGTAAGCAGGAGTTGCGGGTTCGTGTCTCGTTCCGGGCCGATTTTTTCTTCCAGTAGGTCTAAATTATTTTAATTAATTAATTAAATTATAATTATTAAAGTTAATATGAGATGGTGCCTAATGTCTATCTATAGTGCCAAATTGGTTTATAATTTATGTAATAGCCATAAATAGCCGATATGATTCGGCAGTTGTTGATATTTAGATGCAAGTTAAGTTATTTTATTTGCAATCAATCTTTTTAAGAGGTTTGTGACTTTGGAACAGTACGATGAGTAAAAAAAGGTCTTCAGTTTGGATTTACTTTGAAGAAAATGACGAAGATTCGCGTAATGTGCAATGCAAAGTATGTGATACAAAAATTTCTCGTGGAGGCAAGGGGAAAAAAGCTTCGACGTCCGGTTTGATAAATCATTTAAAGAACAAACACAAGGAGAAGTATCAGAAAATACATAAATCTATATCTCAACGAAAGAAAACACAGCGGATGATGTCGTTCCCTGTTCAAGTAAGTCCACGAAGCAATTAACCCTTTACGACTGCCAAGAAAAAACAAAAAAGTGGGATATAAATGACCCTCGGGCTGTGAAATACCATTATCTGATTGCCGAAATGATAGCGATTGATAATGAACCACTGAACATAGTTGAAAGATCTGGTTTGAAAAGATTGTTAAATGAGATCCTGCCGAGATATGCCATACCGAGTAGACCGTACTTTTCAGAGAAAATAATTCCTGAACTTTATGGAAAAGTAGTAACAAAGATTAAAAAAAAGCTTGAAGACACAGATTATATATCAATCACTACCGACTTGTGGACGTGCTTGCAAAACTCTGTCAGTTTCCTCAGTTTCACTGCACACTGGCTTGACAGCGATTTTA